AGTAACTTGATATATGGTATGTGATTAGTTCAAAGTAAATGGGTGGATATAAACTGTCATGTACAACATTATATATAGTAAACTTTAGAATTATGACTATTTCACAAAATTTATTAGACATGTTAAAGAAGTAAACTTATATGATTTATTCATTTAATTAATAATGTGAATTCTATTTTATAAGTTTAAAAATCAGTTGCAATTAAAAGGTAACAACCTATTTTATAGTAAATATGTGGACTAATTCAAAACCCGAGCAAAATGAATTATATGTTAAGTTTTGATGCTTTAGTTCTAAAAGAGATAAGGATAATGGAAAGTGCTTATGTTGCAACCGAAATAATGCTCAAGGTCTTGGAATCTGACGTGTGGCTCTTGGAAAACAACATAAAGATGTACAAGCAGAATATGGATATCGATTGTATTAAAGAATTACAACTTAGTGCTTCAAAATATGAAATGTTATCAGTGAATTCCTTTTAATAGATTAAATGTTATTCGACAAATTTTTATCGCATACAGTAATTGTGCATTTAGAATTCTATGTATCAAAGTAATAGTCAAAACTGAAGCACACAACGCATTTACGTTTCTGTAAAGTCTTTTATTTTTATTTTTATTTGGCTCTTAACTCATCCCGCCTGAAATTTTCACATTCATATATTTTTACGCAATGAGCGTATTCTCAGTTAATACTAAAAACATGATCGCTTTCTTATATGTCGTCCTAAGAAATATATGTAATACATCCTACAATTTGATTGGTCCAATTTTGGGGTGTTTATGTCGATCACTGCTGTGCCGATAAGACGATAAGTCACGTGTTGCTGTGCCCGTAGCATTCGCCTACATTATTTGTATCTTCCCCAGCATCGCCAGAAAAATTTTTACTATCACGTGATATTCGACAAATTTCTTTAATTTTGTTTACGTTAGGGTTAGAGCCTATTTTAGGGTTAGAATAAGGTGTTCTAATAGTAAAATCGGTCAAGGAAAATTTTTTATTAATGCGCAGATGGTGGTTTCATATATGAATTTTTGTGTTATAAGCGATTTTTTCTAATCGAACGTTTGTTTTGAAATTTTCTGATCGCGTAACGTTACACTAAATCGTGGTTCATTATTGGCTTGATTTTGTTGATCATCACGTGACAGTAAAAATTACATAGTAATTTTTCTGGCGATCCTGGGGTAGTTATTATTTGTTTACTAATCATGTGATGTGATGACCACGAATCTATCACTGGGTCCACTGATCTTGAAACTTCCCGTAATTAGATTAGACAATTCAATTTGCATACGTATATTATTATGCATTTGAATAAATTTTATAGTAAGCTTTTATGTGTATCCATATTAAACTTGACGATCTTTGTTATCAAAGTTCTATCTCAGATAGGGATGGGAACGGCTGGCTACGGCTGGCTATTACCGGCTAGCCGCTCATAGCCAAAAGTCCCAGCGTTACCAACAATCGAGGGCGCAGTCACATGATCTTCCGACACGATCAGCCAATAATAAGTCACAATTTTGCGTAATGTAACACGATCAGAAAAATTCAAAACAAACGTTCATTTTGAAAAATTCACCTATTTCTCGAAAATTTGCATAAGAAACCGCCTTTTATGCTCTAACAAAAAAAATTTCTTGCTAAATTTTGCATATATATAATACCTTACTAAAAATCCCAGGTATCGCCCTAAACCTAAAGTAAACGAACTTAAATTTTTTTCCAGTCATAAGACTGCGCCCTCGATTGTTGGTAACGCTGGATTTGCTGCTCAAAGCCGGCTATAGCTGATTAATTATTTAATTGGTTAATATCGGCTATGGCTATAACCGGCTATAGCCAGCTGTAGCCGTAGCCATTCCCATCCCTAATCCGGGTTCATTTGAACCCAAGTTGGATTCAAATGAACCCAATCCGGGTTCATTTGAACCCAAGTCGGTTCAAGTGAACCCAATCCGGGTTCATTTAAACCCAAGTTGGGTTCAAATGAACCCAATCCGGGTTCATTTGAACCCAAGTCGGGTTCAAGTGAACCCAATTCGGGTTCATTTGAATCCAAGTGAACCCAATCTGGATTCATTTGAATCCAAGTCGGGTTCAAGTGAACCCAATCCGGGTTCGTTTGAACCCAATTTGGGTTACCGGGTCAAAATCGGGTTTACTTGAACCCAACCCAGGTCCAAGTGAACCTAAAACGGGTTTACTTGAACCCAACCCAGGTTCAAATCAGGTTCACTTGAACCTAACACAGGTCCAAGTGAACCCAATTTGGGTCTACTTGAACCCAAACCCAGGTCCAAGCAAACCCAAAACGGGGTTCAAGTGAACCTAATTTGGGTTCAAGTGAACTCAAGTTAGATTCAGTTGAATTTAACATTTAAAAAAATTGAGACTGCGCACCCGGGGCAACGCCCGGGCCTGAGAGCTAGTTATTTTTTGTCGTCGAAAAGTTTATTTATTTCATTAAATGGGAATCTTTAAACACTCCCATTTTATTTTCCGATTTCAAAATTTTGATATACAAATAAGATTTTTTAAGCTCCTACTTATTTTCGAAATACGCTATTTTTTTTTTAATTCTGAAACCCCTCACTAAAATGAATTGTAAAATTTGAATTACATTGTATAAATAATAACAAATCGTCGGCTATACAAAAAAAAAATCTACACTTTCCAAATTCAACTAATATAAATTTTAAAATTTCATGTTCATTATATCTAGAGTTTGTTATAAAGAAGTTCGTTATCATAAGCTTTGACTATAATTGGATTTATAAACAAATCTGTATTAATGAACCAAATTAGCACAGATAAATAATTCGAACGAGGCTATAAAATATTATAGAGTTCTAAAATATACTTACAACTAGATAATGAAATAAACCAGTCTGTAAAAATACAGTTTACTTTTTACAGTAAACTTTTGATATAATGAAGAGTTTTGAATTGCGGAATTATCAAATTTCAATCGTATCTAGTAAAATATATTTAATATTTTCTTGATATAAGTTATAATGTGGAGTTTTCCTAACCTGGAGGCTTCATTATAGTGAGTGAGTTGTAATCGTGTTTTCTTGTATTTCTGTATAGAAGATCACCTTTATTTTTTTGTTGAAATACTGTATAAATAGCAAATGAATAAAAAGAAAAAATTTGTATACAAGTAACTTCTATAATAAACTGACAGTTCTTATAGTAAAAATTTTAACATTCAGTGTAGAAGTAATTTCCTATGTTCCTATACTGACTCTACAATTAAAGTTTATTATCGAGTGATCTCTTTATAAAAAAGTTCGAGATAAGAAAATCGACTGTTTACATTGCATAAATGTGTCAAAATAAAATGAGATCAGAATGTCGAATTATCCGTAACCGTGCCCCGATTTGTGATTAGCGATTTGGTATTTACGGTACATACATAGTTCGTACTGTATTGATTTTTACTTCACATTCTATACAATCCAGTACGAGTTTATCTGTATCTTTGTACTGTATCGTATCATTCCAAAATTGTATAAATAAAGTACTAAATTATCTTCAGTACAGTACACTATATGTATATTTCTAAAAAATTTATTATAAAAGAATAAATGACTTAACGATTACAAAGTACCGTACGTTATTTTTAATTTATAAATGACAAGTCAATAATCGATGTAAATTGAGAATTATTAACGCAGAAAAAATATTTATGTTTTTATAATAAATTTTTTAGTGAATATATTCATAAAAAAAATACTAAACTTCTTATCCTTTACTACACGACTTGGATCCACATGTTCGAGGAAAATGAAATAAAATTGTGATTGTATAAGGCTTCATCCCATCATTTTAATTGGTTTTTTTACAAGGCAAATTTAAATAACACGTGATAGGGTTGATCAGAAATAAACAAGATTATCGTTATGCCCTTTTTGAATGGCTATTTTCCTTTTTTGGGTTTGTATCACTCGCATAAAATTCTCTATTTATAAGCGTTGTTTACCTAATTTTTTAAAATCGCATTTTCATTCACGTCATGGCATCAAAAATATTCATGGGCAGTATGCCCGAATTAATGAAAATTATTCTAAAGAATTTAGAGAATGAAAGTAGTTCCTTATATTCATGCGCACTTGTAAGCCGACATTGGTGCAAAATGTCAATTCCTATTCTTTGGCAAGATCCATATTCATTTGATCATCAAAGGCCGTTATTTATTTCTAGATATTTTACATCTCTCGATGAAGTCGAAAAATTAATTTTAAATGAATATGAGATCATTCCAGAATTTTCAGAAACACTATTTAATTATGCAAGATTTCTTAAGGTTCTCAATTTATTTTATCTGGAAATGATGGTTCAAGAATGGATCGAATTCCAACTTGTTGAATCGAAATCACCTGGTGACCCTTTGATATATCACATATCTAATTTATTATTTAAATTATTTATTGAGAATGGCGCCTCTTTACACACATTAAGCTTAAATTTTTCTGATCATACAAAAATTAAGCCAGAGATCTTCTACTTATTGGGACAAAATGTGCAATTTTTCTCTCAACTTCAAGAATTATCTTTGGGTATAATAACAAATTCCTGCAGCTATAGCACTATTGATACGATTACATTATTAAAAATCTTGGCAAAAAACTCTACAAAACTTAGTGTTTTGGAATTCGACGAATATCATACTTATTATGATCCACCAATTTATCGTGCACTTGTAGACATTATTAACTCTCAAAAGCAACTTATGAAATTTTGCTTGGTTGGCGATGATTTTCCTGATGAATTTCATGGCATCATTTCGGCTTTAGAGAGTCAAAAACAATCATTACGAGAACTTTCAATAAACAGGTGTTTTTGTAATGAAGAGTTCGAAATGTTAAGAAATTGTGAAAATTTAGCAATTCTTCGTATCGAACGTTGCGAATATGAAAGACTGTTGACACTATCGGATTATAGACTCAGCACTTTGGAGATAGTTGATCGTCCGCTTGATGCTTCGAAAATAATATTAATTTTAGAGAAGTCCGGTACATTACTACAACGACTAAAGCTAGAATCAAGAAAAGAAATGATTTTCAATCAATCGTTATTATTAAAAACACTTAAGTCCTTCTGCCCAAACATTACACATCTCGAAATTTTGAATATCGAGCTTTCCTCACAACTCCTAGATCTTGTTGGCAAATTATTAAAACTTCAATTTCTCACTTTACGGCATTTATGCTTTAATGATGACATCACACCAGAAGAACAAGTTCTAACTTTTGCAAAAATATTGCCTTTAACATTGCAATATCTCAACATAATGAATTCTTGTTTGGATTTTTATATTGATATTTTGCTCGATAATTGCTATGCACCTTTAAAAAAGTTGCTAATTTTTGGGCGTGATGACGAGAAACCAACTAAGGCGATAATAGAATTCTGCATACGTAAAAGAACTTTGAATTACATTGGTGTAATCGAATGCTTTGATAAGTTTAAAAAAGAACTGGAAGGATATGTTACAGTGGCACCATATTCACGCATTGTTGTTTATTGCTAATGTCTATAAATTACCTTTTAGAATAATTTTTAGACATCATTTATAAATTTTTAGGAGCAGTAAATAGTTTATATGTAAATGAAATATTAAGTTTAGTAATATGATAGTTAGGATATTTCATCATTTATGGTTGGTAAATTTAAATAGGTTTTTGAAATTTGTTTACTAAACGGGCATCCTACCTATACCGGTGTTACACTCGAACTACACCTCTTTATGGTAGTTCAAGGAACGCTGCGGTTATAGTATGAAGACTATGACCTTGTGATTTTGGCTATAATAAAGGCGTCTATTGTTTAACTTAGCAAAGAGGTTTAGTTAGGCTGTTACGAAAGAGGCAAACAACTAAATGTATATGAGGATACAGATAGTTGTAGCAATTGGCTGATATAATAGGTAAGTATTCAGAAGTATATGCTCTAATTATGTAAGCTCACGGACATCAATATCAATGTCCTTGAAAGTAGGTAAAGTAATGTCAACTTTATTCAATAAATATCGATCGTGAAGTTCCTTCACGATAACCACGTGATCAAGATCGTTATACTAATTAACGATATAAATTAATTTAACGTGTATAAAGACACGTTAGTTTATTATAATAGATAGGTAAATAATACAATAAGAAGTGAATTATTATATAGGAATGGAACGAATCGAACACCTTCTTCCCCTTCTTACCAAGGTGAAAGGTTATGTCTTTTATACATGTTTTGTCGGCTATGATATACAACCCGTTAAACATTTTTGACATCTAATATTAGCTACGACTCTTACTACTCTAATGATTACAGCGTGAAAGTTTATGAAGACATGCGATGAAGCAAAATAACACGACATGCATGAGCTTACCCACATGGGATCGTTTGGATTATCGTTCGATCCTTGAACATCTTCACGTTGAGGTGTAAATCAGGTGATTTGCGGGTAGGATATTTACCAGGGTCAAGTGACAAAAATCCCATGTAACAATTTCTCCCCTGCTTAATTATGAGCTCCCGCGAATAAGTAAATATAATAACAAATACCCACTTGAAATATTCCACGAACGTTGTTCATGTCATTTAAATCCTCTCATAGTATCTTTTCAATATAAAAGCATTTCGCGGTGCTTCCAAAATCTGATTTTCTAATGTACGCAGTTTATATACGTCTTGCGCGACACGAGCATGAACAATATATGGCCCTAGCCATTTTGGAGATAATTTCCCAGTATGTCTTCCTAGTTGAGCTGCGTCAAATAAGAGAACTTTATCGCCCATATTAAAGGTACGCACAACCTTCTTTAACTTTTTGTCCCATCTAAATTTTTGCCGTTGTTGAGATTCATTAATATTTTCTTTGGCTATTGCTCGATTAACCGGTAGATCATTCACTAATACATTTACTCGGTCTATTTCCTTTTCTTCTAGCGGGGCCGATAGTGGAAAATCTGGGAATTTAGCCTCACGCCCATAAGTAAGATAAAATGGGGTGAATTTAGTCGTCGATTGTTTGGACGTTCGATATGCGAATAATACTGAGGGTATTAACGTATCCCATTCCCGATCTTGTTCTATTAACTTCGCCAAAGATTCACATAAGGTACGATTATATCGTTCCACTAGTCCATTTGTTTGTGGATGATACGGTGTAGTTAACAAATGTTTAATTTCAAAATTCTTTGTTAAGAACTTTAGTACTTCATTATTAAAATGACGTCCTCTATCCGATATTATATGAGTAGGACAACCATGCCGACAAATAATTTCTTGGAAAATAAAGTGGGCTGTTTGTTGAGCATCGGCGGTAGGTACAGCTTGAGCTTCAGGCCATTTTGTCATATAATCAACGGCAACAATAATATAACGATTTGCCTTGGAGGTTTGTTCCAAAGGTCCTACAAAATCGATGCCGATTTTGTGAAAGGGTGCTTCCACAGGTATAGGTTGTAATGGGCCATGAATCCTATATTTTCCTCGCTTCTGACATTGATCGCAAGTTTTAACATATTCACGAATGTACTCATACATTTGGGGCCAGTAATACCTATCGCGGATCTTTTCAAACATCTTTTCTACCCCTAAGTGGGCACCCAAGGGATGATCGTGCATAAGATATAACAATGGGGTTAATTCTTCCTGTTTTATCACTCTTAACAACTGAGGCTTTTTGCTTTTACGACGATCTCTTTTATAGAGTAGTTGGTTGTAAACGACAAAAAATTTACTCTGCGACTCCAACGATTTCTTTTGACGAGAATTAAACTGCGACGGATGTCGGGCTGTCTCTAAGAAGGTTTTCATATATCCGTATTTGGTTGAATCCATTTCCTTAAAGAAAGAAAAAAAAAATAATAACGTAATAATAATAATAAATAAAAAAAAGAAATAAAATAAAAAGAAATAAAAAAAAAGTATATTGGTAGGCGTGGTTTGTTAATTATTTTATTGCAGGTTAGCTGACTATACGGTTGCAGTGACCGGTTTGCAAAGTTTAGCGTCGTTTGTGGACGGTCTTAGATTCTTGATTAACAAATAACAACGGGGTTGACAACCTTCCACCATACTGAGTTACAAAGGTATGTGTCTTTAAGGTTGTTATGCTCATCTACTTGTCTGAGGGTCGGTGTATACAATGGATCCAGCCACCAGGGCCCATTTACTAAGTGATCTTCTGCATCATTCTGCTTGACTAAATCCTTGACTTTAACAAAAATTTCATTCCTTTCCTTAGGTTTCATAACATATTGGAGCAATATCAATCAATCAAATCACATATCTATTATTTCAAAAATTAATTCAACTTGACCTCACTGAAATATATATTAGCTGATTAAAACAAAGAATAGTACAATTAGAAAACATCTTTATCTTTGATAGTATTAATACCCAAGAAAAATAACTTGACTTAATTGAACAATTCTATTAGCGATTTATTTATCAAAACTTTACTTTTCAACCAAGAATCTCATCTGTCAATAGTAATATTGACAGATATTATTCAGAGATAAAGAATTCAGAAGATTCACTAATACCTCCAGAACAACTTATATTAACCCCAGAACCAGAGGAAACTAGTAGTTCTTCAGAAGAAGATAATCAAACAGAATCTGAAGATAACAATCAATTATCTAAAGAAGAAGATAATCAAATAGCACAATCAAATTTGGATAATCTTATCACAGCTCTTGGAGCTTTAATTGATTGCATAGCTAATCAGAATAACTGGTCTATGAAAAAGATTATAATCCCAATTAGGAAATACTGAGGAAATGATCAAGATCCAACTGAATGACTAAAAAATTTTAACATTGCTACCCAAGCTAATAGAATCACCAATATTAGAAAAGTATAACTAGTTAGAGGATATCTAGAAGATTTTGCTGCCTTATGGTATGATAAAAGAGGAAGTGATGATGCTATTCAATTAACCACTTGGAATGATGATCAAGATCTATCACACAGTTTCAGTCATCAATTTGCAACTCAATTCCATACTTGAGAAAGAATTGACCAATAGCAAGATGAAATTGAAATCTTGCAACAGACTGGTACTGTAAAAGAATATACAAATAAATTTATTAATCTACTTCATAAAGTAGATCCTGAAAATGTATATCCAGAAGAATATAAAATCCAAATCTACAGAAGAGGATTGAAATTGGAGATCAGAAAATAGGTTCAGATCTTAGCTGATAGAACTTTCTTAAATATAGTACAAGTTATAAAGAATGTAGAGAAAGCTGATTCAGATATACTAACTCGAGGATATCATCAATTTCAGACCCAGGATAACTCAATACTGAATGTTATATTGGTAGCATTCCAAGGTCTCAATCAACAAATAGAAAGTATTAAATCTAATAAAGGATCTAATTATAACAGAAATAATTCAGATTATAGATCTAATAATCAAAATCCTAAACCAGTCTCAACCTATTATAATTATGATGAGCCAGGTCATATCCATTTTAATTGTCCTCAGCTACAATCATACTGGAATAATCAGAATAACTTTGGAAATAATCATCAGAGAACTAATAGAAATAATCAGTAATAAAATAATGTATTATCAAATCAGATAAATACTGATAATAATCAAAATACAAATAATAATTAGAATATATTATTGACTTAAATACAAGCTCTCACTGATAATATTTAAATATTAACTGTCAAACCTGACAATATAAATTTATTACTTGGTATATATGAATACTTAGCTGCTAAAAGAAAATCCAGAAATTCCAGAACTACTCATTATAAAACCAGATCCATAGATTAACCTCATAAAGAAGTAATTAATAAAAATAAGGAACTAATTAACAATAAAGAGGAAGAACAAGAAGATACTTCTGAAGTTATTCTTGATCAGGATATGAATAATGCTGAACTATCTAAAATTATGAAAGAAAAACTCATTAAAAAAATTATTCATAAAAAGAAAAGTAAAATTACTTTACCCATACTTGCTATCATGGCTGAACTCTATGATATTCTAGAATATTTAGCTCAACAAAAAGCAAATATAACTGTTGCTCAACTTATTCAGATCTCATCTTTACAAAAAACTCAACTATCAAAAGAAATATATCAAGCTATAATATTAAAACCAAAAAGAAAAAGAAGAGTATTGCTTAGACAAAAACTCAAAATCACATCTGTCTAATATAAAGTGAAAGTTAGAAAGAATATAATTAATTTAATCATTGATATCAATATCTCTGGATGTATTACTATACATAACTTTATAAAAGATATAGGATTAAAAATATAGTGCAGTTTAAATATTTCAATATCAGATATAAATGATATATCTAAATAATCTCTTGGAGCTATTAACAATCTACTCTTAAATATTGATAAAATCATAATTCCTACTGAAGTAGACATTACTGAAGCAAAAACATACTCAGTAATTATTAAAATGGACTTTTTAAATAAAATCAAAGCAAATATTAATATTAGAAAAGATTTTTAACTTTTGAATACAATGAATAGAAAGGAAAAGTATTAATTAAATTTATTTATGATGATAAAGGAGAATCAATCTTTAAAGATACAAGTTTTAAAGAAGATGAATCAGATAAAGATTTTGAAAATGAATTTGAGAAATAATACTTGAAAAAGAAGACTTTCCTCATGTAACAGCATAATAATTAGAATACTATAACTTTTAGATAACAAGAATTTCAAGATGATGATAGTATTAAAATCATTACCAAAGAAGCTTGAACCTTTATTAAAACTTCAAACCAAAGATTAAGAGATATTGACTTTAGAGAAATACCATTTTCAATTATTCAAAGTATTAAATGAATTTATGAAGTATAAGCCTATCAGAAAGGAATCAAAATTAAATGAAAAAAATATACCTGGAAAGATTTCAAATAACTTGACAAGAAGTTTACTCAACTCTGTAATTGAAACAACTGATAGTTATTTAACTGGCAAGGACCAAATAGTCAATACTAGTACTATAGAAATCTTTTTATGTCTGATTATCAATATCACCAATGCTATAATAATCTTACTGACTGGATAGTAATCAAAATTCATAAACCTTTCCATGCTGAATTCAAAACTAATGAAGATTATTGGACTGATGAAGTTAAATAAGAACTCTTCATTAATAAAAGAGTTAAGAAAAGTTTTGATATATATCAAGCTATAATATAATAAATTCATTCCAATTCTCAAATTGAAAGATGTCATGAATGTGAAAAATATGTAGATAAATATTATACTAGAACATATTTTAAAATGAATAGAGAAAAAGTAACTACCTGTGATAATTATATTAGAGAAAAATAATTAAATCTTCCTGTCTGTTTTCAATGTGGTGAACATAATGAATCTAGAGAAATATTTATTACTAGAAGCTATCAAAAATAATACTTTTGTACTTATAAATATCAATGTGTTTATTGGTTTAATTATGGAGAATGAAGAAAGAATACTAAAACAATTAATAAGCTTAGAGATTAAGAAATACTATTAAAAGTTTATGAAGAATATGATAAAATTGGCAAAATAATCTTATCTCACTTTATGTATGAAGATGATTTTGTTCATGAAATTATTTATTAGCATTCTGTAAAAGCCTCTGCTACTGAAATATTTCAATACATCTATCAATAACTCAGTCCTAATTGAAGATAACAGCTTGCTTGTTTGGATTATATTAATATGAAACTTTATCAAGAATGTTTAATTCCTTGTGATAATAATAAATGTGATGATTGTGTATAATCTGAACTTCCAGTTAAATTTGATAGAGGAAAATATCCTATGACTTTGGATCTAATCCCAAAAGAAATAGTAATAAATGAATTAATTGAAGAAATTAGTTTTACTTCTATTTTAACTCAACCTTCTCAACTCAAATTGAATGAAATATATGAAAGATTTAATATTATTTATCAAGCTCTTAATAAACTTTCACAATAATTTAATAATTATTTAAAGAATATCTCTATAAAGTAAAATAATAGCTATTATGCAATTAAAGTTTATAATGATCAAGATAAAGAAAAATTACCAGAAAAAGCATATTCAACTAATGTTGGATATGATATTTATTATACTGGAAAAGAAGTAATTAAAATTCTCTCACATCAAGTTGTATTAGTAGATATATATATTACCATAAAAATTTTTATCAGAGTTGTATGTCAAGTAATGTCTCACTCATCTCTCACAAAACAAGAAATCAATATTAAAGATGGAACTATTAACTCTGGATATATTGGAAATATTAATATTATTATTCAGAATAACTCAGAAGAAGATTATATTATTGAATTAGATCAGAAAATTACTTAACTCATATTTATTCAACTTACACCTATTGATTAACTTAAATCAGTTTCTACTAGAGAAGAACTAGAACAATCTAGTGAGAAATAGCTAAATTTGAATCTACTAACCTTAAAAAGCTTATATCTATTTTCTGAAACAAGAACAAGAAAAAAAAGTTATTAAATAATGAAAATTAATTGCTGAACAAGAATGACTTCTAACTCAATTACTAGAAAATAATGCTAATATATTTGTAACTGAATTACATGAACTTAGCTGAAGTAATATAATTCAACATGAGATACATACTGAAAATGAATCACCTATCAAATAACAATTTTATAGAACTACTCTTTCAGATCAATTATTCATATTAGAAGAAATTCAAAGAATGTTAAAAGCCATTATTCAATCATTAACTAGTTCTTGAACTTCACCTATTATTATAGTTTCTAAAAAGAATAGAAAGAAAAGATTTTGTATTAATTACTAAAAGATAAATACTATTATCTGAAAAAATGCATATCCATTATCAAGAATTAATGAAATGATAGACTCTCTTGAAAATACTTACTAGTTTTCATTTATGAATTTAATCTCTGGATACTGATAAATTGAAATAAAAGAAGAAGATAAACTCAAAACCACTTTCATCTCTAGAAAAGAACTTTTTGAATTTAATATCATGTCTTTTGGATTATGCAATATCCCAATCACTTTTCAATATGTTATAGATACAATACTAGAAGAATATAATTAGAAGTTTGCCAATATGTACATTAACAACTTGAATATATTTTCAAAAGATTTTGAAAAATATTTGGATTATTTCAACAAAGTATTTTACAGAATCAGAAATGCTAATTTAAAACTCAATCCTGAAAAGTGTAACTTTTACAGAAG